TTATGCACATAAGCGTGCGCAAAAGTTCATGGAATGGCGTACATTTTAAATCTAAATTAACAGCCACGAGGAAAAAAAATCCTGGATATTATTTCTATTCTGAGTGAAAATGTGCATGTTAGCCCTCCATTAGCGCTCGACTGTGACTGGGTCCCTTGGTGCATTATTCATGCTAACAACGCTTTATTATTATAATTTTCAGACACGTACATATATACACTTATTTGATGAATTCAATCAAAACTGATCAACGTTGCCTCCATCATTGAAAATTCACTAGGCACCATGAAGTGACAAGAATCAAGACTGAATGAAGCCTTGCTGAGATCTGACAACACAGGCTATTATCTCTGCCCATTTCTTCTTCTCAGTCTTCCAAGCTTTGGACAGCGTGTTGGTGTCTTCATAGCTCATTATGACTTCACTGAGACCCATGCTGGGAAAGACATACGTGACGGCCGAGCCACCGCCCTGAAAAGTTACATTAGGCGCTACATTAATGAGGGCAATGACGTCAAAATGGCCAGACACATGAAAGCTGATTTTGACTCACATGGAGGCATCAAAGGCTGCTCCTCAGCGGTGTGCAAGGTTGACGAAAGGTCCCAAAACATGACCAAGCACTCGCTGAGTGGCATATAGTCTTTGAACAACTTTGTGTTCATTGAAAGCGGAAAGATCATCGCTTGGTGGGCCTGCAATGTTGGATCCGTAAAGTTTTTTTTCCATGGCATCGCTGGCACATCTCCGTACCCCTCAAGGCTTGACGAACTTACAGGTTCTCCAGGCATTCAATAGTCCTGACATGCTGACTGGTGTATTCCGTGCCCCTTCCAGCATGCTAGAACAGCAGCCTGCAGCACATCCAATGGAGCCTTTAGTCGTAGAAGAGATTCAGCTCGAAGAAGAGAGTGTGGTCTTTGCTGCCCAGAGTAGGGTTGTATAAAGATTTACCAAAATCACAGCAGCCTTCAGCGAAACCTGCTGGGAAATACCTTCTGGCGTTAGAGAGAGACTCCACGTACGACATGGAAGAAAAAGTGGGCAGAGACGTCCAAGTCAGTTTCTGGTAGCTACATGGAAGCAGCTCAGCTGTCCACGTCTGCATCCGGCTTAGTTTTCCATAGGCAGTCGGAAGATGCGCTCCCAACAGCTGACATGGGCTGGGCACTAAAAAGACAGAGAGGTCTGTTCATTTCACCACCAAAGTGCGCCAGTTTTTGTGTAAAGTCTTCCTTCAAGGAGAGGACACTGGGAATAAAGCAGTGGCTGAGGGTGTAGCACCACAAATGAGGTCCATGCGAACTGCTGAGGGAATGAAGGTGTTCACCAAAGACGAGTGGCTGACATCTACCCAGATTTCCAGATATTTCAGTCGATTGGCCGCAATAAACAGGAGGCCAGCACCAACAGAACCGGTACCCGAGGGATGAGAAAGCGAAGATGAGGAGGAAGACTCATACGTGGCTGAAGCTCCCATCACTAGAACACGGCTTCAAATCAGGAGGGAGCTACAACTTTGACTTTACTTTCAATCAGAGTGTTTGATCATATTTACTATGACTTACTCCTTG